AGCCGCTGTTGAAACTGATCAGTTTCAGCAGCGGCTGAATCTGGACGCCAGTTCCGACTTACATACAGGTTCAACTTAAGAACAAACCTACAGTCCCTATCTTGTACGTAACCCGGGGACTGCCTGTATTGGTCTGTCATCTAAACCAAATTATACAATTATACATTATACATGTATTTTTTCTGAAACCACACTCCTGCAGCCGCTGTTGAAACTGATCAGTTTCAGCAGCGGCTGAATCTGGACGCCAGTTCCGACTTACATACAGGTTCAACTTAAGAACAAACCTACAGTCCCTATCTTGTACGTAACCCGGGGACTGCCTGTATTGGTCTGTCATCTAAACCAAATTATACAATTATACATTATACATGTATTTTTTCTGAAACCACACTCCTGCAGGAATAAATAACATTTTAATGCATTAGATGTGATATGAGCACAAGCTTTCTGTTTAGGAAGAAGCCTTTTTGAGCCTCTCCTCTTCCCTTTGTTTATTATACCAGTAGAATAAAGACCAGACTGTTTCAGCACAGACTAGGTGAACTACAGCTTGCGTTACAACAGCCTATGTCAGGAAGAAAGGGTAGTGCACATGGCCATACTTAGTCAGACTAATGATCCTTGTAGCACAGTATCCTGGCTTCTGACAGTGATCTGTGCCAGATTCCTCAGTGAGAAAGAACAGAATAAGGCAAGTTATCAAGTGATCTTGCTTCGCTGGAAAAATTGCTAGCTTGTTCTAAGGGAGTATGAGCTACTTTTGTAGCCTTCTTACAAGGCACTTCTATTTTGGACATCTGTAGAGCTCTATACGTAGTTTTATTCAAGCTTATGCAATCATGCTGTTTCCAGATATTATGCAAGCTTTGGAAATATTGTTTTGTAGTTGATATTCAGGTAGGCTCTGAGCTTCTTGATAACCACTGAAACAGAATACACATATGAACCACTTGAAGAAAAAAATGAGTAACAGCCAGTTCTTCGAGGATGTCCCTATTGGTGTTCTACCTTAGGTCTTGAGGCACCGCTGCGTGCCTAGTCGGAGATTTACAATAGCACTGCCCTCCGGTGGGCTGTGCAGGCAGCACGTGCAGTGCTGCTACCATGCATGCGTGGCAACCGTCCCTTCAGTTCCTATTCTACTGCCATCGGCATCAATTGGAACTGCAGTTGCTCTCCACATTCGCTTACTATTTGAATATTTTTCGGTTATTAGTTAGTGTTATAGTTAAGTTAATGTCTGCAAGAGATTTGACCGTAAATTCAACGTGGTCCTACAGGGCACAGATTTCTTATTTTCCCATCCTTCCCCCAACTTGATAGGGAAGGATCCAGTTAACCAAAGGGGCAAACAGAGCGCCACGTGCACTATCCCATACGATAGAGTGGAAATGCTTAGACCTCATGGGTTGAAAGGCTTATTCCTCAGCTTCTCTTCAGCTCCGCATATCAAATTACATAAAAAATACACCCACCACATCTTTAAATAACTCTCACTCTTTATTGACAATTTATCAGATGACAGAAAAGAACGATTTTTTGCCAGTATAAATGAGGGAATGCTGATCTCCTGCATGGCCCTACAGGCTGCCCTGGACACATCCGATACAGCTTCACGATCCATCGCTACTGCCATCGCGATGAGGAGGCCCTCCTGGCTCCAGTTGTCAAGGTTTCCTTGTGAAGTGCAGACCAGGATAGAGGGTCTCCCCTTCCAGGGATCAAAGCTGTTCACTCACACCACCAACGCGTTCCTCCACTCACTCAAGAAACCCAGAACAAATTTGAAAACACTTGGCATACACATACCTGCAGCTAAGCACAAACAAAACAGGTATTTTAATCAGAGATACAAATCCTCTCCTTTCAACCAATCTGAGGCATTTTGACAACAGAAAGAGACAATGACAAACCAGGCACAGACAGGCCACTGACCAATCGGCCACATCTCAGCCGTTGACCTTGAGGCAAACGTTTTGAAGGTCAGGTCGAGAGTCCGATATATCACCCCTTCATCTGGAACAGCCCAATCCCATCTGCTATTCCGCCAACATCTACTACCCTTCTTCCACCACTAGTCTTCTATCACGACCGAAAAGTGGGTGCTAGATGTAGTGAAGGCCAGATACTGCATTCCTTTTATTGATATCCCTTCCTTCCACCCAGCCTTTTCAGGGACCCATCTCACGAGAGTGTTCTACTTCAGATGGTGACCTTAACCATGATAATACCAGCCTTAAATGAAGGGGGACTGGTTATCTACTCTCAACCTTAAGACGCCTGTTTTCATGTATCCATCCATCTAGCACACCAGAAATACCTGAGGACAATGCACATTTCCTATACACAGTGCTACCCTTTGGACTCTCCATGACCACAAGGTTCTTCTAAAAAATTATTGCAGTGGTGGCCACCCACCTCTGCAAATGAGGGATATCCATATTTCCCTATCTTGATGATTGCCTGATAAGAATGACCACGAGCCAAGAGGCCATCAACACAGTCTCCCAAGCCATGTCCTTATTCCAAATTGTGGGGCTGCAAATAAACCTATCCAAATGCAAGAGTCAACCAGCTCAGACAATAGAGTTTATAGGCATGTATCTCGACTGCATCCAGGCAACAGCCTGTCTTCTGCACCACCAATTTCAAACTATCAAGCACCTTGTTGTGGTGCTGCAGACCAGCCCACAAGTTCCCACAAGAACTTGCCTGCAGCTTCTAGGCCACATGGCAGCAGCCACATCGGTGGTATCTCACACCAGATTACATATGAGGCAAATGCAGCATTGGCACAGAACTGTGTACAGACCCCATTACACTGGTATCAACAAGCTGATTTTGCCCCCAAGCAGGATCAAACACTCACTAGATTGGTGGGCAGATAAAAAAAAAGTGTGCACTGAGGTACCCTTCCACAGAAGTTCTCCGACAATCATGATCACGATGGACACCTCTCTCCTGGGATGAGGAGCACACCCAGGTCCCCTCACAGTCCAAGGCCGATGGCAGTCCCACGAGCTCAGAGTAGTACCATATGCATGTCAGAACTTCCTGCAACAGATACAGAGCAATACTGTACAGATTTTTATGGACAATGAAGCCACAATGTACTACATAAATAGGCAAGGCAGAGCCAGATTATACAGCTTGTGCAAAGAGGTAGCCCATCTATGGTCGCGGTGCATAGACCACAATGTCTGGATACAAGCCTTTTACCTTCCGGCAAGGACAGGTAACCCTCAGCAAGGATTATGGCAGAGACCCTCAGCAAGAAGCTCACTTCCAACCATGAATGAGAGATAGACCACAACATACTTCTCATGATATTCACACGTTGAGGATTCCCAACAATCAACTTATTTGCAACCTATTGGAACAAGAAGCGTCCACAGTATTGTTCTTGTGCAGGCATTGGCTCGTGCTCTCTTGGGAATGCCTTTACAAGACCTTGGAATGCACCCCTTCTATGTGCTTTCCCGCAAATCCCTCCTCTTCACCAGGTGGTCAACAAAATAAGAGCAGGGACAGCATCAGTCATACTCATTGCTCCAGCATGGCCCCGCCAGACCAGGCTCACTTACCTGCTCCGTATATCCATAAGACCTCCTTGGCAGCTCCTGATAGTCCCTCATCTCACCAAGAGGGTCACATCCTGAATCCATCTCCCCACATGGCTCCTCTCTGGCTCTTCTCAATAGAAGTCACATTTATGGATCAAGTCAGACATCTTAATAGGTAGTCTCAGAGTCACAACAAGGAAATCTTTCCTATACAAGTGGTGAAGATTCTCTCTCTGGGCTAGCAAAAAATCTGCAGATCCATCCACAATTCCACTGGATGATATATTAGAGTACCTTTTACACCTACAGCATACAGGTCTCTTGCTCCGCTTGTTAAAAGTACATGTTGCAGCCATAAAGGTGTTCCAGCAATCTATCAAAGACAAATTGGTATTCACCCACCCCATGACTAAATGCTTCCTAAAGCGAATTCAAAACTCATTTCCGCCTGTTCGAATACCAGTCCCCGCCTGGGATCTAAACCTCAGACCACAAGACTTTACGCATGAGCCTATGGCCACATGTTCAATGTTGCACTTCTCAATCAAAGTGGCTATGTTAGTCACGCTTACGTCAGCCAGAAGGGTAAGCAAAATTGGGGCTCGAATGGCTGACCCACCTTTCACCATATTTCATAAGGACAGAGTGGTTCTGCGACCACATCCAAAGTTCTTACCAAAGATACTTACCTCCTGGCATTCCAGTGAACCTCTGGTGTTACCCATTTTCTGCCCAAAGCCTCATGCCACTGCTGAGGAAGCTAAATGGCACACACAATTGTCTTCTATTTGGAGGACAAGGTCAATTCGTAAAATGAGCAGACTTTTCATCTCCACCGATAGATCCTTGGGCATCCAAATCTATGCACAGATTTTCCAGGTAGATTGTAGACTGAATGCAACTGGCTTATGCCAGCTTTAATCAGCAGCCACCATTTCAGTTATGTGCACACTCCACAAGGGCCGTTGTAACTTCTACGGCACCTCAAAACCTAAGGTGGAGCACCCACAGGGACAACCATCTCGAAGAGCCTCTGTTACTGCACAAAGTGAGTAACCGTCTCTTCTGTAAGTATTGTTCTTCAAGATGCGATTCACACTTATTCCATGACCATACCTCCACCCGCTCTGCGTTAGCACCTCTAGATACATATTCCAGTGTGAAGGAACCGAGGGAGGCTAGGTCAGCACCACCTTTAAGTAGCCTTGGGTGCAGTCATTAATAGGTTTAGAGCGTATGAAATGCCCAAATGGGGAGCTGGCTCTGGGCTTGCTAGGTTTGTGCCCCTCTGAGTGGAATACCTGAGAGACCCCACATCTACCAGAATTGCTTAATTTCTCTCTTGTCCGTCTATAAAATGGGGATTATAATATTTCCCTGAATCATGGAGGGAACGGCAAGGAAAACTTCATTAATACTTATTAGGGCTCAAATACAGCAGTGATGCAGTCTTTAGAAAATCCTCATATTTAAGGTGGGAAAGGAAAAAAGAGAAATCCCTAAGTATCTCTTGCAGTCCTTTTTACCTTCTGTTTCTGCTAAAATTTCATTTATTTAAAGTGAAGAAAACATTTCAGTATGACCAAATTATGCTATTATCTATATGTGCTGTATATTCACAAATACAGACTTTTAGAAACCATGTGGCCTGATTCTGGGAGTTACTGAGTCCACACAACTCCAAATAAGTTAAATAGGAATTACAAGTGTTCAGCACCACCAAAAAATAGATCATTTTATTGGAACCATTTCTTGAAATGTATAAGTAGATAGTAGAAATTTCTTGTATATGTCAAAACTGAGACAAACTCCTTACCCTTTCAATGAATTCATCCCACTGTTTCTACACAGTGAGATTGGCATAATCATTATATGTAGAATGGTTGTCATTAAACAAAACTAGAAAAAGACCAGTTTGTCAACTTGTAGAGAAAAGATGTATTAGGATACCAGGAAAATACTGCATGTAATAAAAAGTTACGAGAGAATAAACAGCGGCTTTTTAGTTATATATCACGAGGATTTTTTAAAATAAGTCTTTATATATTACGGAACGTCTACACTAGCCCCCTAGATCAATCTAGGGAGGCTAATGAGGGCGACCGGAATTGCAAATCAAGCCCGGGATTTAAATATCCCGCGCTTGATTTGCATGTTCCCGGCCCATCGCCATTTTAGAAATTGACTAGCCTGAAGTAACTGCCTGCAGCTATACGCGGCAGTGAAACGGGATTCCGAAATAAAGCCCCTAAATCGAATTAGGTGGTAAACCTCATTCCATGAGGAATACCACCTATCTTTTTTAACCGAGTTATACTTTTGGCCTTCACAATGTCCTCTGGCAGTGAGTTCTACTGTCTGACTCTATTTTATGTGAAGAAATACTTGCTTTTGTTTGTTTTTAAGCCTGCTGCCTATTGATTTCATTCAGTGTTATGAGAGGGAGTAAATAGCACTTATCCTTCATGGTTCTTGATTTTATAGATCTCTATTGTATTGCCCCTTGGTCATCTCTTTTCTAAGATAAATAGTCCCAGTCTTTTTAATGTCTTCTCATATAGAACCAGTTCTTTACCCCAATACAGTGGATCCCAACTTTTTTGGGTTTATGGACCACTTTTCAATCTATTACAATTTCACAGATGACCCTCCCCCCCATGGTGAAGAAAAAAGAAAAGAAAGCGGGTGGGAGAGGGAGGAGGAAAGTAAGGATCGGGCCAACAGTGGGCCCAATTCTTATTTTTAAACTTTCCATGGACCCCCTGCAATACCATCACAGACCACAAGGGGTCCGTGGCCCACAGGTTAGGAAACCACTGCTTAAATATTTTTGTTGCCCTTCTCTGTGTGTTTTCCAGTTGTACTATATTTTGTTTGAGATGGGGCAATCAGAGCTGCAAGCAGTATTCAAGGAGTGGGTGTCCTATGGATTTATATTGTTGAATTGTTAAATTTTCTGTTTACTTATTTATCCCTTGTCTAATGGTTCCTAATATTGTTTGCTTTACTGCTGCTGCATGTTAAGCAGATATTTTAAGAGAACTTATCCACAGTGATTCCAAGATCTTTGTCTTGAGTGGTAACAGCTATTTTTGATTCCACCATTTTGTATGTATAGTCGGAATTAATTTTTCCACTGTGCATTACTTTGTACTTATCAGTATTGATGTTTGTGTCATTTGTTGCCCTGTCACTCAACTTAGTGAGATCCTTTTGTAACTTTTCACAATCAGATCTGGATTTAACTATTTTGAGTAATTTTCTATTATATGCAGATGTTGCCACCTCACTGTTTACCCTCTTTTCCAGATCATTTAGTTCTGGTCCACTTGCAGATCAGAGTAGCAAGTTTACCATTCTCTCACCTTGTTCTGGAAAAGAAAAAACCTGATTCAATTATATTATATTCAGCTATGCTCTGTAGATCAGGAAAATCAAGAGAAGTTAGTGTTAGCTTAACTTTTGAACATCAGCGTAATGTCTGTGTTTCTGCTTTGGAAATATTCTTTATTGCTGAGTTTTCCAGAAGAGAAAGGAAAGTTCTCAAGGGTAATTGACAAGTCTAGTTCTGTTTTTTTCAAACTTCAGTGCAGTTAGTGAATCCACTCTATAAATGAGCCTAAAGAAGCAAGTATCAAATTTATTTTTCCAAGCATAAGTAAATTTAAATATAAACAAAAAGTTAGTTAATAAATGCAAATAGATTATCAAGAAGATATTTTGTTAATTAGTGTGAACATTATTGTACCTGCTTTTCAGTGCCCCCTATGGGAAGTCTGTTGATATGTGGTCTGTTGGCTGCATTCTTGGCGAACTTAGTGATGGGCAGCCACTGTTTCCTGGAGAAAGTGAAATTGACCAGCTTTTTACAATTCAGAAGGTGCTAGGACCACTTCCATCAGAGCAGATGAAGCTTTTCTACAGCAATCCTCGTTTTCATGGACTGCGGGTAAGGGAAACTGACCAAAACCCTTTTCTTACAGTCTTCTGTTGATGTGGTATTTAAATCTTTGTCTACTAGATACATGTTTTATACCCTTTGCCCCATCTAAAAAGATTAGGGGATAGGTTTACATTGTGAAGAGGTCATGGATTTATAAATAAATTGCAAAGCATTATGATTGCACTATTGTTACATGGATAGATATGTACATAATCATTTAAAATTCGTTACTTCATTGCTATGATTCTCTTGGCAGGTTAGAGCACATCCTCCAGTTAAGCATTTGTTTAGACTAAGAGACTGAACTTATCTTTAGCTCAGACAGTAGGTTCACTACAGTGCAAGATTCCCAAAGAGTTTTGTGTTTGCAACTACTGTGTTATCTCCAGCAACTCATGTTTAGAGGTCTTATTTGTGGTGTCTTACAATTTAATTTTGGTTGTCTTGACAACTTCTGCCACTTTCTCAATTTAATGTTATTTGGAATGATGGATTTCTGGTCTAATCTAAAGTATTACACATGTTACCAAAAGGAAATATATTAAAATACTAAAGTATTATCCTGCTTCTCTTCAGTTCCAGCCATACAACATAAGCTTTGTTGGATTAATGCATTATAAAATGTGACGCTGAGGAATGGAATAAATTATATTTATTTTGTATATTTAAAAAACTGCAACATTCAGAACACAGTGTGCTGTTAGTGTGATCAGCATAGGGCTAAAGTCATAAGGACATATGTCCTAATTCTGGGCCAGTGATTTACTAGTTGTCGTTGGGCAAGTAACTGCCTCTTTATTCCCATTTGTTAAATTGGAAGAATAATACACGTGTACCAAATAGGGGTCATGTGAGGCATGATTTCCCTTTACAAAAACCACGTAGAATCTTCCCCAACAAATTATGTTCATTTATGTGTCTGACAATTTTGTCCTTTACTATAGTTTCAACATGTTTCCCTGGCACTGGAGTCAGGCTTACTGTCCTCCAATTGCCAGGATCACATCTTGTGTCACATTTAATTGTCCTCCAGCCTTTTGGTACAGAAGCTGATTTAAGTAAGTTGCAAACTTCAGTTAGTAGTTCTGCAGCTTCATATTTGCGTTCCTTCAGATTTCTTGGGTGAATACCATCTGGTCCTGGTGATTTATTACTGTTTAGCTTATTGATTTGTTAAACTTTCTGTAATGATACCTCAATAGTGACAGTTCCTCAGGTTTGTCTTTTAAAAATTCCAATGCAGCTTGCAGGGATTTCACTTTTTTGTCACTGTACCTTTTAAATCCTTTGTAACTGCTTCCCTCATTTTCCCTTTTCTGAAATTAAGTGTCACAATGTTGGGCCTCTGTGGTGCTTTTTCACTTTCACAGAGATGTTAAATTTACTTATATTGATGTCACTATTACCAAGTGGTCTAGCTAAATTCACCTCTTGAACCAGATCCTGTGCATTTAAGACTAAATGAAGATTGCCTCTTCTTTTGAGAGTTCCAGGACTAGCTGCTCCAAGAAGCAATCAGTTTAGTTGCAGTGGGAGAGATCTAGGCTGAATATTAGGAAAAACTATTTCTCATGGGCTTTGTCTACACTGCAGGGTTTTTGCGTAAGCCTTTTGCTGAAGGGTTCTTGCACAAGAACTTCTTGCACAAAAGCGCGTCCGGACCTCAAATCGCATTGCAAAAGCGATGTGCTTTTGCGCAAGAGAGCGTCTACACTGCATAGAGACTCTTGCGTAAGAAAGCTCTGATGGCCATTCACAGAATAGCCATCAGAGCATCTATGCTTTTTCTAATAGGGATTTCTTGCGCAAAAACCACTCCGGAGCATCCACACCTGCCTTTTTGCACAAGATCTGTAGTGAAAAAATGAGTTATTTCTCATGGGGAGAGGAATAACTCTACCGGCAAAAGCTTTCTGATCTGTCAATTTTTTTCTCGTGCAAAAACGCACTTGAGATGTGGACGCTCTGCTGGTTTTTGCGCAAAAACGGTCATTTTTCCACAAAAAACTTGTAGTGTAGACATAGCCTAGGAGAGTGAAGTGCTGCAATGGGTTACCTACAAAGGTGGTGGAATCTCCAGTCCTAGGGGTTTTTAAGTCCCAGCTTGACCAAGCCCTGGCTGGGATGATTTAGTTGGGATTAGTCCTGCTTTGGGCAAGGGGTTGGACTTGATGAACTCCTGAGGCCTTTTCCAGCCCTATGATTCTATGACTAAGGTTTCAAGAAACTATCTCAGCATCCCATCCCAAGGTGACATGCACTCAGTCAGTATGGGGATAGTTGAAATCCCCCATTATTATTGAGGTTTTTAAAAAAAGTTTAATAGCCTCTCTAATCTCCCTGAACATTTCACAGTCACTTGCATCATCCTGGTCAGATATATCCCTACTGCTATTTCTCATTGTTAGAGCATGGCATTACTGTCTACAGAGATTCTGTGGTACAGTTGCATTCATTTAAGATGTTTGTTTCATTTGATTCTAGGCTTTTCTTTCACATGTAGTGCCACTCCTGCACCAGCACATGTTCTGTTTTTCAAATATATATTGTATGCTACCATGGAGGTCCTTTACTTCAATCTCTTACCTAGAAGCCTAAATTTGCCTCCAGAACCTCTTTCCTATATCTCCCTATGTCATTGGTACCTACATGTACCATGACCACCAGCTCTTCTCTAGCAGTGCACATACATCTAGCTGTATGTCATGAGAGATCCACACCTTTTCCACCAGGCAAGCAAGTGACCATGCAGTTCTTCCTGTCATCGCAAACCCAGCTATCTATGTTTCTAATTATCTAATCCCCCATAAAATAGCATAAGGTGTCACATGGGACATACCACTCCAAATGGTCTTGGACAAGGGTATAAAATGGATCTGTCTACCACTTTTCTCTCGGTTCCTTCTTATCACCCCGGTGAGAGTTGGAGATCCTCATGGTATTTGCTTTAGTTAGCCAGTGTTTCAAAATTTCTATAGTATTCAAATGATAGCTGCTTGATTTGCCTTGATGATAGCCATGTGAGGAAGGGAAATGCCGTATTTGTACTTCCCTTCCCACTAAGACAAAAAACAGGGATTTCTGCCCCCAAGTTAACCTTATGAAAGATGTCCTATGTCAGAACTGAGTCCTGACCTTGAAGTAGCAGATTCAGTCCATGAGGAGCATCCCTCCCACTGCCCATGATTCAAAGTGCAAGTCTGATGAGAGAGGTCACTTTCCACCTTCACCATTAGGTGTGAAGTGCTCCAGCTATTCTGTTGCTGACAAGTGCTCTAAGTCTTGGTCTTTTAAAATAGCTTTCAGGAGATCTGGTACTGGTTCAAGACATAGCAAATCTAGGTACTCACCAGCTTTTGTATAAGGCAGCACTATTAATTCTACCTGTGTATTCATCCTCACTGGGTCCCTTTTCATTGTTCCGGCTGATCAAGTCTATCTCAGCACCAACAGACAAATATTTACCCTTTCATTGTCTTCTATCTGCTGTCCTTCTTGGCAAGGGATCTTCTGTCTTCCCCAACTAGTTCTGCTTAAAGCAACGTTGGTGTCTTTTGAATCGCTAATACACACAGCATCCATTACGCTGGCTCCAGTTGCTTTGTCTTCATTCCAACCACTTCGACCCTCAGCTTTGTTGGATACCTAGGTGTCTCCATTACACAGACCACCTGAAATCCTGTGGGAACCATTCTTCTCTATTCTATAGAAATCTATGGCTGTATCTACATTGGCAAGATTTTGCGCAAAAGCAATCGCTTTTGTGCAAAAACTTTGCTGCCTGTCTACATTGGCCGTGAGTTCTTGCGCAAGAACACTGACATTCTAATGTAAGAAATCAGGGCTTCTTGCGCAAGAACTATGATGCTCTCGTTCAGGAATAAGCCCTCTTGCACAAGTGTTCTTGCGCAAGAGGCCAGTGTAGACAGGCAGCCAAGACATTTTGCACAAAAGCAGTCTAAACGGAAAAAAGCCCTAATGGCCGCTTGGATGCTCCATACCTGCAGGCAGCTCCCGGACTTTCTGGTAACCCATGCCCCCTTAAAGGCAGACACAGCCTGCAGAGGCCACGAGGCAGAAGCCCTTCTGCCACCTCTGCCCAGAGCTCTGCCACATGGCTCTGCTGCCTTCACCAGACCACCAGGATGGCCGCTCCGGGAGGGAGGGGGGAAACAACCTACACCCCCAGCGCAGGAGGCCCCAAGGGGCATGAAGCGGCGCGCCCCGTCCTGGCCTTCAGGGGAGATAGAGGCCTTCCTGGACCTGTGGTCCAACGAGGAGGCCCTCCACGACACCCGCTCTCATTGGCGCAACGTGGACATTTTCCACCGCATGGCCCAGGTGCTCTCTGACCAGGGTCATCCAGCCCGGACCCTCGAGCAGATCTGGGATAAGGTCAAGGAGCTGTGCCTGGGCTATGTCCGGGCCAGGGGGCAGGAGCCGACACCTGCTCCCAATTTCCTTGGTTCCTGTGGACACCAGCAGGCAAGCCCCTGTCACCAGGCCCAGCAAGGCGGGGGAGGAAGAACAGCTGCCCAGTGGGTCAGAGGACGAGGAGGACCAGGGGAGCAGCGGGACCCTCCAGGTGGAGGCCCTCTCTGGCAGCCCTGACATCTCCTGTGCATCCTCAGACGCTGGGGAAGGATCCACTGGTGAGTGTTGCACTTTGCACCCACAAGGGTGGGGGGAAGCCAGCCGCCAAGGGGGAGGGGGAGGGAGCGTCACTCAGGCCACGTGAGCTGCGCACTATGTAGCATTAGCAGTATGTAGCACGTGCAGCCTGGTGACCGAGTGGGATGTGGCCGCAGCAGAGCATGCCTGGGACCGTGCTGCTCACTCACATCCGGACAAGGGGGGAAGGGTGGATGCCAGCTGGAACCAGCCAGGGTCCCAGGGACTCAGGCCAGAGCCCGCACCACCGCAAGGGTGCAGCACACAGAACAGCACACTGTTCCATGCCTGGCTGTGAGGCACAGCCAGCTGCTCTTGGGAAAACCGCAGCGTCACAGCCCTGTGAACATGGCCCCCACTGAGCCCCTCGCCTAAGCTCCTCGCCTGCTCCCAGTGCTTTGGCTGGCCCCCCGAGGGAAGTCCCCAATGCGGCCACACACGTCCCTGAGCTAAGTGTGTGAGGGCTAGCGGGAGGGGGAGGCAGGAAGCGCTCGGGATGGTCTCTTCCCTGCAGCGGGACGAAGCAGGAGTGGGGGACCCTGCAGCCCTGCGGCAGCACCCCCAACAGCCCAAGCACCAAGCCGGCGGGTCCGGCAGCAGGACCAGCTGCTTCGGCGGCCGCATGGCAGATGCCATCATGACCCTCACCGTGCACATTGGCCATGCCGTACATTACGGCATGGCATTGCCCCATGCACCCACCATCCCTCCTATAGCAATGCCCATGCCCCCTCCTCCTCGTGCTCCCGCAATTCCCCCTCCTCCTTCTGCCCCTCCTGCCCACGTCTCCGAGCTGCCTGCCCCAACGTTGCCTGACCCCCATATCCAGGTCCGCCCCCGCAGAGGCAGTTGCAGGGGCGACCACTCCCAGTAGTAGCTCCCCCATCCAAGTTGAGAGCCACCTCCCCTCTCACAGTTCAGAGCCTCCTCCCACCCTACATCCCCCCCATCCATTGTAAATAAAAAGTTCGAAACGTTGTGTTCCAAAAAAACTGTGTTGGTTGTTTATTGGGAGGTAAGAGGAGGGGAGGAGGGAAGTGTTGGAAATGGGAGGGAGATGTCAAGGGAGACAGAGGCGTCTACTATGGGGCCTGGGAGAACCGGGTGGTGAGAACCGGTCTGGGAGAACCGGGTGGTGCTTCTCTGGAGCACAGGGGCGAGCCAGGCACGCAGGTCCAGGAACTTCCGCTTTTGCATGCAAAAGTTCCGGAGCCATTGTTGGTCGTTCCATTTCCCCAGGACCAGCTGGTCCTACCAGTCAGTACTGGTGTCCAGTCTCCACAAGGACCTCTCCACGGTGGGGTGGGGATGGCACAGGGATGCCATGGACTCCCTGGTGAGGGAGTTTAGAGCGACCTGTGCCTTGAGGTCCTGAAGCAGCCTGGAGCAGCAGCTGCAGGCACTCCAAAATGGCCGGAAGGGGCCAGAGCAGGCACAAGGCCATCCCTGGCTCCATAGCACAACAAACGAGCTGAGATCAAAAAATCAGCCAAAGGCACCAAAGGCAGAAGAATGTGGTGTCCAATAGGGCAGAGGGTAACCACAAATAGAACTGCTACGGCTGTCAGCCCCTGCAAGAGGTCCTAAAGCACGCAGCAGGAGAGAAACGGCTGTCCGGGGAGATCTCTTTAAGCATGTCTCTCAAAGGAGCTCCAGCCCCCGCCCCTGGAAAGCGCTGGTGCCCTTTTGCCCTCTTCAAAATGGTTCTGGGCTTCTGCTTTTGTGCAAAAGCATCCTGCCAATGTAGACGCTCTTGCTCTTTTGCGCAAAAGCGCATCGTTCTTACAATGAGTCCCGGACCAATATAGACACTCTTGCGCAAATACTCTTGCATTAAAGAGTATTTGCATAAGATCATGCCCATGTAGACGTAGCCAATGGTTTTTAGTTTTGAAACCCGAAAGGAAGGAATTAGAATCACTTTCAAAGTCTTTTAGATCACTTTATAGCTCTCTTACTAGGGTCAAAGAAACTGAGGACCAAGACTGGTTTCTTTATAAAGAAACTCCAGCATGTTGTCCCCTCACTGTGCATGACTTGGACAGTGCAATATCCTCCATGGCCTCACTGGTCTTGGGCTAGTCTGATGGGCTCTGGAATTCCATCACAATCATTGCCGATTTTCCATCCCATATGCCTTTTTGGGTGGTTACACATGAAGCAAGATCAATGAGGAGAAATAATAATAATAAATAAATAAAGTGACCAGTCTTAATGGTCTAGACAAGCCCAAATTACATATCAGATTGATGCAGGTAGAGGTACTGTATATGTTGGTTGGATTATGCTATCTGAGATACTACCTAGTCTTCATAACCGAAAAACCTTTCTTGGAGACTTTTCTAGGTCTTTGTGGTATATATGAGCCAGCTTCATTGCTGTCTTCTCAGTGTAAAAGTCCAGTCTTACAGATCTTTAAATATCACATCTTAAACATTTCTGACCTTGCAGTTATTGATTTTAACGGATTGCTTAGCTCAATCAAAATTAGAGGTTATCAGTTATGGCTTTTTGAGTTCTCCTTCAGAAATGTAAGAGCACTTCAAAGAGAGATATGTGTGGAGAAATGTTTTTAATTCTTTTTACTGTTTTTTTTACTCATTTTTAGCCAAAGAGTTCTTAAGAAGGTCCTTCTTTAATCTCTACATATACTGAATATTTTTTATCTCTGACTTGAAATTATTTTTATCTAAGTATCAAACGACACAGTGGCTTGTATTGTTGGTAATTAACATGTAAATGCTGAAATGCAGAAGTTCAATGATTTAGATCATGTTTAGGTGGGGCTACAACAAGCATAAACATCCCACCTTTCATAGCATCAGCTTAGTTCACTGGAGCTGAGCTAGTTTTAGCTACTTGATCACTGCCTTTTCCCTTTTCTTCATATCTTTCCCACCTCACCCAAGCAACTTGTTTCTACTCCAGCTTTTGTCATCAATAATCAGGGAAGACAAGAAATCATGTGTGCGTTGGTTACATATTGGTTTTTATTTTTAGTATTGGGAATATTTCAAGTTAAGTTAATTATTCCTGGAAACTCCTATCCTCCCAGTAATGAAACTCCATACCTAGTTAGTAGACTCACTTTCATACTCTTGGATACTGTCACACCAAGAAAATAACTTTCAAAGATTTTTGATACGATCAAAATTTAACCATGGGGTTGTGTGGATAGGAGTGTGTGGACGTGTGCTTACACACACTTATTTATCAGGCATAATTTTCACATTTCTGGAAATGAGATTGAACCTGCAAAAAGTAACCCTGAGTCTTGCACTCCTGAGAATTTCCAGGAATTAAGTTTTAGTAACTTAGTTGTGTGCGTTTTGAAAATCCAAGAAGCATAGCTTATTGCATATATGCTTCTTTTCATCATCCTAGAACCAGGAAAAGATCTCGTCCATAATATTGTAACTTTCATGAAAGTAGGAATAAGATCCTCCGGAAAAGGGCGCTTTTTCCGGAGGATCAGGGCCAGTGTAGACGCTCTTTTCCGGCTTTTCTAAAAGCTGGAAAAAAGCGGCGGACATTTTTATTTAAATGCCGCGGGGGATGTTTAAATCCCCCGCGGATTTCCCTATTACGATCTCTGAAATTAACATGCCCCTTTCGGAAAAGGGGTCAGTGTAGACGTAGCCATACAGTAGTATTGAGATACTGAACACAGTCCTTTTCCTAGCCTTTCAGTTGTCTTGCCACAACCAGGCCCTGAATTTGCTTTAAGTTAGGAGAAGAGGAAGCTGCATAGCAAATTTGTTGGCCCTAGCTCTTGCTGTTTAGGAGTTCTTGAACAAATGGACTCAGACAGACTCTAAAATATATATATATATAGAAAGAGAGAGAGAGATTATTTTTGTCTATGTAAATATTTTGGTTATTTATAGACGTAATACATTTATGCTGTATTATTTTTACAGTTCCCAGCAGTCAACCATCCTCAATCTTTGGAAAGAAGATACTTAGGAATTTTAAGTGGTGTTTTGCTTGACCTTATGAAGGTAGGAAAAATTGCAGTATTTGTTTGTATTTATTATATAGGGGTGGTTTGCAGCAACCACTAAATATATTTTCCTAACACATTCACTTTTAAAAAAAAGAATCTTTGATAAACTTAAACAATGTCCATTATTTGCAGCAGATCTTCAATATTTTCCTGAGGTCAGAAAAAAAACCTTTTGCTAGAGCCATGACGTTCTGTTCAGATTTGTCTGAGTTATAATCTGCTGAAAATGTTTATTTTCCTGATCTGTATTACACTGTTGCTGCTTGATTTTGACAACATACCAAAACCAGTGAACATTCTGAGCCTAGGTCCCCATCATCACTGCAGCAATATACACTGCATGGTCAATACTTAGGAGCAGAAACTCAGCCTGACTGGTTTTGGAGCAGCTTTATTGGTAGAGAATGGAGAACAAGCCAGTTTTGCTCCTGTCAGCCACCTTTCTGTCTCAGCATTGTAACTCCCAGAGCACTGCCTGAGAGAGAAGACCTTTCCCTTCTCTACCTGCCACTTGATGGGAGTGAAATGGAAATTCCTGGCACAGAGACAAATACTAATAATTCATCTTGGGAGCCATGATAGAGCATGAGGTCTAAGCTCATATTTGATATAGTGGTCCCAAATCTTATCCATTGAGCAATAATGCTTTTTAAAAATAGCTATTCATGGCTTTATCCTTTTCTGTGGAGAACTATTTAATTTGGACTACTTACGTATACTTCATTGTCTCGGTATCTTGTGCATCACCCTTTCCTGGCTGCTCCAAAGAGGTTAACAGTCTTTTCTTTATTGTTAGCTAATGTGATTATCAGAAGTTCAATCCTGGTGAAGGCACAGGATTGAAAAACTGATGTCATTGGAAGAGTGATATTGGTAATAGTTTGTCTTTACCCTTCCTCTTACTTGTAACTAGTTTTTTTTTTTGTATTTTCTTTCCTAGGAATTCAAGTCATTTGGGTTGCAAACTCAATTACTTGAAAATTAAGAAATGCCAAAATTAAGGTTGTCTGTACAACCTTAATTCTATCTTCATGTATTCATGGGACTTATGGTTTTTAATTACATGCCCTCATATTATATTTTCCACAGAACCTTTGCCTCTTTCAGTTCACGGAATGGGTGGTACACAGGGGTGGTTCAGGGAATAAGATTGTTGTCTGGGTAAAGAACGAGATTCTGGACTGCAAGAGGAGAAATGATGGTCTTGTGGTTACAGCAGGTGAATACTATACAGGAGAATTCTCTTCTAATCCATACCTCTATGGCCGACCTTCCTAAATGATGCTGGGCAAGTTACTTAAAAGAGAATGTTGACATGTGGCCCTGTTAGTATGTTCCTCAGTTTCTCCAGGCCTAGACATCTAGAACCTGCTTGTCAAAAAGAACTGCTGAGCTTTCTCAACCATAATTAAAGTCAGTTGGAGCTATGGGTTTTCAGCTCCTCTGGAGTAATGGGCTGTAACTGAAGGATTACCCAGAGGGGTGGGACTCCAGTGACCATCAGTTATAAACCTGGCTGCACCAGTGATTTGCTACGTGCCCTCAGGCTCTTTGAATTACTTTCCCCATCTGTAAAATGGGAAGAATAATAGTCTCCTCTCACAGGGAACTTGTAAAGAAAATGCATTAGTATTTGTAAGACAATCAAATACTGTATCGATAAGCAGCATAGAAAAGACCAGAAAAAATAATTCAATCCATTGTATTGTGTGAGTATAGGTAAGTTGTATATACACACATTGTACTCTGAGGATAAAAAAGAAGCTTTATTTCCTGAGCACCATCTATCCAGTGCACCGAGTGAAGCAAGTGTGTAAGGGGGAGGGGAAAGGGAAGCATGTGGCTTTGTAATTAACAGGGTGTTATACGCACACCATCCAGTGCACTGAGTGAAGCAAGTGTGTAAGGGGAAGGGGAAAGGGTAGCATGTGGCTTTGTAATTAACAGGGTGTTATACGCACACCCAAAGGGGCTGAAATAAGATTGCACAGACATTTGATTCCTAAGTTTTAAGTGGTTAACCAATCAAAGTGAATAACTTACTTTTAATATAGGTTTTATTATGTTCTATTGTGTTTATTTGTTTAGGAACAGGTAGGGGATACAGCAAGAAGAATAATGAATATAATACATTTATCCTCACTGATGATAGTGTGTTGAAATGAGTCAGTAATTACTAAATGTGGACCTGATTGTGCGAAGACTTATGCACATGTTTAGCTTTAATTACCATGAAACTACTCACTGTATGTAATGGAAATACTCAGTGTGTAAAGTTATCTGTTTGCTATCTTGATTCACTATGGTATGTATTTATTCTAAGTATGAAACACAGATAGCCTTAGGATATCTTAAAACTTTTTGAAGATGTATTTTTGTTTAAATTACCAATAACAGTTGGAAGAGAAGGGAGACTATAGATATATTATGCATGTTCAAAGTAAACAAAAAGTCCTATTTTAATTCACACATGAGTATTGTTTGCTTACCATATTATCTTACTGCAACTGTTAGGCTGTGTCTACATTGGCACCCCTTTCCGGAAAAGGGATGCTAATGTAGACTTTGGAATAGGCAAATCCGCGGGGGATTTAAATATCCCCCGCGGCATTTGCATTAACATGGCTGCCGCTTTTTTCCGGCTTGGGGAAAAGCCGGAGAAAAGCGCCAGTCTAGACGTTATTCTCTGGAAAATAAAGCCTTTTCCGGAGGATTTCTTATTCCTACTTGAAATCCTCCGGAAAAGGCTTTGTTTTCCGGAGAATAACATCTAGACTGGCGCTTTTCTCCGGCTTTTCCCCAAGCCGGAAAAAAGCGGCAGCCATGTTAATGCAATTGCCGCGGGGGATATTTAAATCCCCCGCGGATTTGCCTATTCCAAAGTCTACATTAGCATCCCTTTTCCGGAAGGGATGCCAGTGTAGACGTAGCCTTAGTGTATTTCTTACAGTACTTGTACTAATACAAATGTCATAACATGTTGCAAATTAACCACTCTGTTAGATTTTCTAAACATCAAAAAGAGTCTGTCTTCAGTAATAGAACAAATCTCACAAAATTAAAACAGGAATTTCCTTCCGACCACTATAGATAAATTCCTAAAAAGTGTTAGTGAAATCTTACACTACACCCTACAAAATCAATGGTAAAACTCCCTACATTTCTTTGAATCTATATTAAGTTTTAATGCATACTTTTAGGACTAGCAAAGATCTTTGAATGAACTTCATACATCAGACCTCTTTTATTAGACATAATTTTTGTGTGTATGTTTATTGCTTCTGAAAGCAGAATCATTCTGCATTCTCACATTTTGGTGGCTTTACCTTGCAATTAGAAACAAAGAACCGAGTTTTATACAAACCTGTGCAGCTCAGAAGTGTTGTGAGTTTAAGACAGTGTACACTGAGCGCTGATTTGCTTGTAAATGTTATATTAATATAACTTTAAATCATGTTAGCTGTTGCGCGTCATAATTGCACAGAAACTATTAAGATGAGAATGTTATTGAGCTACAAGTTTTTGCTGTGACTGGTTTAAATACTAATGCTTGTTTAAAACCCAGACTTTGTTTTCCAAAGAACTTGCTGAAGCTGGATCCAGCAGATAGATACTTGACAGAGCAATGTTTGAACCATCCTTCGTTTCAAACTCAGAGACTCTTGGATCGTTGTGGAAGTTCACCTTCACGATCAGCTAAGAGAAAACCTTACCATGACAGCAATACATTGTCTAACCGGTAAATACAGTGACCAGATACTCATTAGCTTCATTTGTTACGTTTAAATTTCAGGTTTAAATAGTAAATCATCTTCACGAAAAGAACTCAAGTTTTCTGATTATTTTGTCGTGTTGGTATGCATATTGTTTTCTATTTTGTCAGCATAACGTTAGAAATAAGCCACTTTTTCCATGCTAAATGGCCTCTCATTCCTAAACACATTTCTTCCACACTTACTTTTAGTCAGTTAACCTAAAGTAAGTTAAAGACCCTATTACACAACATAAAAATTGTGTATGGTATTTTTTTGTAATTATAATAAAAATATGAGGCTGATACCATTGCCTGTTGTTAAACATGCCCAACACTCCCTGCTGTAAGTCTTTGTTTCTAGTTGCTTATAACTTTGTCAAACTTTAACCATTCAAGCTGCATCTTTCCTTTCTGGCAACCTATGTGTGGCTATTTTTTTTTTAATTGCATACCATTTTATATTTCAGACCTTTAGACAGATGGGGCAGGTGGACAAGGGAATGAAGGAGCTACAGTCAAAAGTAGGGTCCTTTGCTCTGAGTGGTACCAGGAGTTTCAGAGGACAGGCATCTCCATAATGGCTCCTCTCCGAAGATATGCAGAGCAGTTACTGATCTTCTATGGATCTTAGACCATCTGTGGTCACAGACCTTTTCTCTTGCACACCTCATATGGTTCACTCAAATTAAGCACCTGTTGTCTTTCCTTTTGAAATCTTGGTCAGCATAGTTCTTCTTTTGTAAAGCCATCTGAGATCTGCAGGAGACAAGCTCTGTTATTCTTTTAGGTTCCTAGAAGATCTCTGCTCCTGTTGTGCACCTTGGGAGGCATGATGTGGGAGGAGTAGATCTAGCCCCTTAAAAAACTTTGCGTCCACTGATAACATTTCCCATGTCAACCTGACTTAAGCTTTCAGGACTCTTATTTCTTATATTTAAAAAAAAGTTTAAAGTTGCTGAGTTTATTATTATAACCCTATGCAAAATACATAACTAGATAACAGAAGTATTACCATTGCAATGGTAAGCATAAAAAGATAGATATTACCAATTACAATTTTTATGCAAAGAATCTTATCACCTTTTCAATCTATCCATTCTTGACAGATGTGACATATTCTAATGTGATACTTCACCTTGCACATTTCAATATCTGTTACCTCTGACACGTAAGAGATGTTTGAGAACTGTTTCACCAGAACTTAGCTAATCATATGTGTGATATTTCTCTCCTGCCCCTACATTTACATATTTTAGTGATATAGATATTGAAAGGATTTCAAAGCTGTTATTGGAATGAATAAGTTAAGTTTAAAAATGTATTGTCATTAACAAATTGTACAAACTAGAAGCAAATATTGCCTATCAGGACAATACATTGTTATTCCTTATCAGCAACTTTTGCTAATTTGTTGAGGAATTCCTGGTGCCTAATTTCCAGTATTTAAATCAGCAGACTTAAATTATCACTCAATTTTGAATTGACTATTCTTTTTTTAAATTAGTGTATTTATTTGAAGTTGAGAATTATTAGTATATTAATATGTATGCTACCATATTAATCCTTCTTCGTATGCTTTTTAATGTAGAAATCAAGCCAGCAAAAGCTCTGTTGTACAGTCACATCACAGATCAAATAGCAAGGACATGCAGACTCTAGGGGCTGGACTGCAGAGAGGAGAAGAGGTTCTTCCAGCAAATGAAAGTTTTATAAATGGAAACCTTCCTGTATCTGCACACAGTCCAATGCATACAAAAAAACCTAGTAACCCAGCTGGATCTGGCAACAAGGATCTAGCCAACAACAACATGCCACATCTTCTCAGTCCAAAGGAATCAAAGGCAAAAACAGAATTTGATTTTAATTTGGACCCAAAAGCGTCTGATGGTCCAGGTACAAAATACCTGAAGTCAAACACCAGATCTCAACAGAACCGGCACTCATTTATGGAAACTTCTCAAAGCAAAACTGGCACGCTGCAGCCAAGTGAGAAACATAGTCGCCACAGTTATATTGATACCATTCCCCAGTCTTCAAAGAGTCCTTCCTATCGGACAAAGTCAAAGAATCATGGGGTTCTGACAGACTCAAAATCTGTGGGGAATCTTTCTGAGGCCAGAGCTCAAATTGCAGAACCAAATAGCAGTAGGTATTTTCCATCAAGCTGCTTGGACTTGAACTCTCCTACCAGTCCTACACCTCCCCGGCACAGTGACAGTAGAACTTTACTCAGTCCTTCAGGGAGAAATAACCGAAGTGATGGTACCCTTGATTCCCGAAGACCATCAACAAGACATTCCAAAACCATGGAAGAGTTGAAGTTGCCAGATCACATGGATACAAGCCATTCACATTCATTATCTGCCCCACATGAATCATTTTCATATGGTCTAGGTTACACAAGTCCCTTTTCCTCACAGCAGCGCCCTCATAGACATTCCATGTATGTGAGCCGAGACAGAGTGAGGTCTAAGGGCTCAGAGGGTGGCTTAAGCGTAGGGCAAGGGATGGCAGCCAGAGCAAACAGCCTGCAACTGTTATCTCCACAGGTGCAGCATAGGTCACTCACACGATCTGTTGGCTCTTCACGGGAAGACTGTACAGAAGATGCTAATAGGGTTAGTTTGAAATGATACTTATTGAAAAAGGTTTCTTTTTTTTTCCTGTGTGTTTCTTGCATGCATGTAGGCTCAGATGGTCAAACATAGACTCTAGTTTTGTATGCTTTTCTTTTTTTTTAACTTCAAAAGAAGGGGCATTGGATTTTTGGAGATACTGAATATGCACCTTTAAAAATAAGAGGGCACTTTTAAAAATTTGGGCCACAATGAAACACAGTCAATCCTTTGTAGCAAAATACTAAAAATGTGAGAACAGTCAAATTGTGTAAAATAATGTGATCTGATAAGTGTCATGGAACCAGTGTTTGTTAGTTTATATGATTTTAATAGATTATTTTTACTAGATTATATTTCTTAATTAACTTTCTATATTTGGATTTTGTAGCACACCTTACTGCTATAAATGCTAAACATTTATGAATTGGGATTTTCTGTCACTTAACCTGCAGCATGAGTTTGTTGATACAGTGATCACTGTTAAAAATCAGTATTTACTAACAGTTATGACAGCTGAGGATATGTCTTCACTGCAGTCTACACTGAGGATATGTCTTCACTGCAGTTGGAAGATGTCGTCACAGCCAGTGAATACCTATGCTAGCTCTGATCTAAGCTAATTCAAGTAACAGTGGCAGTGAAGCCGCAGCAACACAGATAGCTCTATGAGCTAGTCCTCCTGCATGCATACTTGAGTGGCCTGTGCAGCCTTTCACACTTCCCAATTGCAGGGCAGATATATGCCTAATGTCATAAATAATGGGGGTATATAGAGACTGTAGTGTAGGAATTGTTAATAAAGGCCAACTCTTCAATGGAGACTCCTTATATGTGTCTCAAACGCACCTGTTGTTGAGCTTGATCCAAATTACATAGTCTATGCAGAACCATCTCTTCTCACTCTGCTTTTACACTGCCCCTTTCTAGTTGATGTGAACTCAGGTTGTTTTGTTTATGCACGACACAGATATGGTATTTCTCTATGAAGACTGTAGGCTAACCTCAATTTGTATATTATAGATCTTCTCCAAAGAATGGGCCAGATTGTGTGCTTGCTTGGTTCTTTATTCAGGCCTATTGAATTAAGTGAAATTATACATATAATTATAAGTTGGTACAAAATGTGTCCCAAAATTTTAAAACAAAACAAAAAAAATCCTTGAAACTGTTCTGGGAGGTTTTAGCAAAGTTCAACAGTAATATGGTGCAAAGAGAAGTACTTACAAACAATGAGCATTTCACATAAGTACCTGCAAATATAAGCAGAATGGTGAATTCTAAGGACATTTAAAAAGGGTGTGTAATTTGTTGACAAATTTAAAAGGGTTCCAAAAAGAGCTACAAGAAAAATCCAAGGTCTAGAAAATACACTTTCCGATGAGACACTCAACAAGCTCGATCTGTTTAGCTTATCCAAGACCAAGTTAAGAGTTAACTTGATCATAGTCTGCAGGTACCTACATGAAAAAGAGCTCTCCAGGCTAATAGCAAAAAGACCTAAAGAGATCCAGTTGTGAGGAGGTGAAGCTAGACAAATTCAGACTACAATAGAGGTGCAGACTTTTTGAAATAGTGAAGTAACTAATCTTTGGAACAAAATAACTTAAGGATATGGGGAATTCTCCATATTTGAAGTCTTTTAATCAAGACTGGATATTTTTCTAAAAGATTTGCTGGGATTGTGGGTTTGATCCATAAATTCTTTTAATTATTAGGTGATGTTCTTTGGCTTGTGTTATGCAGAATATCAAACCAGATGATCATGGTATTCCCTTCTGAGTTTAAAATATGTGAATATACTAAATAATTGTAATTGAGCTGTCTTAAAGGAAAATTAACATTTTAAATAGTACTGTTGTAGATGCTTTGCAAAATTAGTTTTTCTTTCTCCATGTGTGCTCAATTTCCATCTTGCATGTCATTTAAGCTAGTTGTACTCATAATAATGCAGTCAGTGTAATGGTTACTGAAACAACAATGGTTTCTACCATTCAGTCACAGATAAGGTTTGCCCACCCTCCAAGATTGGCTTGGAGTCTCCCAGAATCAGCATTGATCTGCCAGCAACTATTGAAAGTAATCTGGGGCAATACTTTAAAAAAATGATATTACATCATGTTGGGTGGAAAAAAATCTCCTGGAATAGCTTCAGTCAGAGTTGGCAACCCTAGTGACAGGATATTTCCTGATGCTAGCTTATTTTTATTCTGTGATTTAACAGTACCATTTACAATAAGTCTTAATGTAGTGAATGTTAATTCAATTGTGTGGAGACATTGAATGTAATTATCAAATCATTTTTATCTTTTGAGAACTAGTTGATAAATGTGTATTTTAGTTAGGAAAAATGATGTACCTTCCATCTCTCTTGCAGTGATTCATTTTGGCTTGGTTAGGAATATCTGTCTGACTTGGCAGTTTCTAATTCATTTTGTATGCTTTTATCTCTTAAGACTAACATTTTCCAACTTGAATATTTTAAGTAAGGCTTCTAAATCCATATTTAAGAAAAGTAAAGATATAAAAGTGGTTGCGCACGCTCATAAATCTCTGTGTACTGACAGTATTTAATGGTGCCTATTACCCTTTGAAAATCTGGACATTTTCAGATACATACTTAAATATGGATTTAGAAGCCTAGGTCTGAAGATATTGATCCAAAGTAAGAGTTAAATACCTTTTTATGCTGTCTCTTGCCCCGCCCACTGTACTGAGTTATACAATAGCTAGGGAAAATTAAAGTGAATTTGTAAACTATTATGGCCAGAAAATGTAGTCATAAGGAACAAGATTAGTGAGTGTCAAGAACTTAGTAAATTTGTGAACTTTTTACTTTGTGAATAGCTGCGAGCCAGAGGTGAGGCAGGAGAGGTATTTCTCACACTGCCTGTTCTAGGGCCAGAACCAGCGCACAAAGTATCTCCACAGGGCTCGCAGCTGTTCAAAAATAAACAGGGCCCCACAGCCACTTTTCTGAGCAGCGAGTAGAGGGTGAGGCAGGCAGGAAGCCTGCCTCAGCTCCCTGCTGCCTTCACAGGCTGGATTTGGCAGCTTGGCAAGCTGGATCCAGCCTACAGGCCAGATTTTGCCCAGCAGCTTTTGGATGGTTGTTTAAGTCCACTTCACTGGGAGCATTTGTTCAATATGTTTTATTTGTTTTAAAAGATGAACACGAAAGAGCAAAAGAATAGGAAAAATAAATAACATTATCTGTGTGTCTCACTTGAAATTTAATTGCTGGAAAAATTGCAGATACATCAAACAAGAAGCAGCCTTATCAGGCATGTTAGCACCTTATAAACTTTTAGCAGAATCAGGCTGTAGTTCAAGGAATGTTTTAGCTTGCCTTTCTGTTATATCAGAGTTGCAGTGTATACTTATCTGGATTGGCTAAACCAGATTTTTATTAGATTCATTGCACCATAGAAGGAAATAGGCAAGAGAAAAATGAGGTGGGGAAGGAAATTAATAATATAGGAGGGAATCAATAGCAGGAACCTGAAATTCACATCCTAAATATTGCTAAAGATCTCTCTGACCCACCAGTGGTGGGTGTGTCACCAGTTAACTCCCATCATAGGGTCTCTAGAACATGTTTCCAAATTAAGACATAATTGATAGTAAATTTCTGGATCCAAGCATGTGGCTAAAAGGTCCTATTATGGCAATAAGGAGCCAAGGGCCCATCATTACACAGGGTTAATCTCTGTCTCTTTGGCTCCACCCCAAGACTGACTCTGTCCTGTGCTTGGAGAATCAGGCACAGCAGCATAGAGCTTTTTTTCTCCTCACCTCCTGCCCCTCCCCTAATGTCACCAGGAATGGCAGCAGAAGGCCCTTCTTCTGTAAAGAGGCAGAGGTGGCAACAGGATCCTCCCAGCTTGGTTGCTGGGCGCATTTGGGTGGATGAGCAGAGCCCTGTAGACTCTTCTCCCCTGATTCTCACACAGTTTTCTACTGAAGTTATCTTGGCAAATCCTCCCATTCTTACTCTCACCACAGCAGCAGGTCTTACAGTTAATGCCTTCATTGAGATCCATTCATCAGCTCATCTCTCTGGGAGCTATTATTTCAGGCTCTCTGAAGATTCAGGGATGCTTCACATCCCTGAATCACATTTTCAAATTTTCTTCACAACCATAACAATCAGAGACTTTAAAAAACAAGAAAACTAAAATTCTGGTGTAATCACGTAACTCCTTAACTGGGGGTCTTACGTGATAGCCTCTAGTGCCTGTGAGTTAATCTGCCCTGGTGACTGACAGCCATTATTGTAAGGCTGATTAACATGTAGCACCACCAGTTGTCATCTGCTCGCTCCTTCCTCTTAACAAGTTACCACATAGCTGCAAGAAAAGCAATGTACAGAATGGGGTGGCATGGCAGCTTTGCTCTATCAAAAATTAATCAACCAGAACACCTATTTGGCGATTGCCTGTTTTCCTCTCCACATTTGTAATCACATCAAAACCTTGAAATTCCCTAAGCATTTCTTCTTGTTTAAACACATCTAGTTTGTGCAAATCTAAACTTTTGATACTTTTCACCTGCTTTGGACAATTTAACCTAGTGTCTAGGATTCTTCACAATGCTTATTCTAAACAGAATGCAGTGATGTTTTATTTGCCGTCTACAATCCACAATGATCAATGAATTAAGAACATAAGAATGGCCATAATGGGTCAGACCAAACGTCCATATAGCTGAGTGTCCTGTCTTCTGATGTGGACAATGCCAGATGCCCCAGAGGGAATGAACAGAACAGGAATCACCAAGCAATCCCTCTCCCGTCACCCATTCTCAGCCTCTGACAGAGGCTAGTGACACCATTCCTGCCAATCCTTACTAATAGCCATTGATGGACCTAACCACCGTGAATTTATCTCGTTCTTCCTTGAACTTTGTAAAAAGTCCTCGTCTTCACAACTTCCTCTGGCAAGGAGTTCCACAGGCTGACCACGTGCTGTGTGAAGAAAAACTTCCTTTTGTTTGTGTTAAACCTTCTACCTACTAATTTAATTTGGTGACTCCCTAGTTCTTAGGGTATGGGAACAAGTAAATAACTTTTCCTTATTCACTTTTTCCCCACCAGTCTTGATTTTATAGACCTCTATCGTAGCCTCCCGTAGTCTCCTCTTTTCTAAGCTGAAAAGTCCCAGTATGTTTAATCTCTCTTCATATGGGACCCATTCCAAACCCCAAATCATTTTTGTTGCCATTTTCTGAACCTTTTTCAATGCCAGTATCTCATTTTTGAGATGAGGTGACCCTATCTGTATGCAGATGTATGCAGATTGAACGCTTACCATAAGAAACTAACCCATCTCTAGTCAGAAATGCCTTTTGGTGCTTTTGTGGTTAATTACAGCACTGGACTAGACTTGACAAAACCAAATTCAGTTCCTGACTCCATCAAGGATTTCTTGTGTGATCATGGGCAAGTCACTTAAAATCTCTTGCTCCATTCTAGAAAGCTCTTCAAGCTCTTGATTAAGTCCCAATGAAATCAGAGTACATGCATAAGGATTTTTCTAAATAGACCTGGGCTTAAGCACATGCTTAAAATGCTTTCCTGAATCAGGATCTCCTTATCTCACTTCTCTGTCCATAGAAAAGGAATAACAATGCTTTCGTTCTTCCAATCTTTATTATGTTTATTTCGATTATAAGTTCTTTGAGGCAGGGACTGATGCTTACTATTTTTATGTATAGTGCCTAGCACAATAAGTTCTTTGAGGCAGGGACTGCTGCTTACTATTTTTATGTATAGTGCCTAGCACAATGGAGCCTCTAGGCACTACCATAATATACATAAGTCTTAATGAAATAATATTGCACACATCATAAATCACATGCTTTTCCTATTTGCTTTTTTAAATTTGCTATCAGCAGAGTGATCAGATCCCACCAGAGATGAATCTAACAAGACCTGCAGTTAAAGATTCTTCCAGAGATGTTACAACTTCATTTCATTCACATCAGAAGTCTGAGGTCTGAGTCACTTTCAAATCCATAATATTACACCTTGGGGGCAAATGTTTTTTTGATGCTATCTTTTGTCTTTCTGTAAACAAAATCCAATAGTTACTGTTGTTCAGTGTAGGGCTTCATTATAGCAACGTTTCATAAAACAGAAGGAACACTGGCTGGAAGAACGGTACAAGTGTCATCCTTTGTTTTTAACAGGTGTTTGTGTTCTTTGGCTTAGGGTGGAACGTATCATGATCCGCATCCAGAGGATGGAGCATCTAGTAAAGAAAATAGACTTCTGTATAATGACCCTGTTCCAAGAAGAGTTGGCAGCTTTTACAGAGGTAATTTAGCAATCTGCTGAAGTAACCAAAGTTTTAACATACAGTGGAATCATATCACAAAGAAGGATATTCTGAGCTATGCAAGAACACGTGGAAAAAGTGGCTGGGAAAAAATATGCCAAGCATAAAGTCTTTCTGGTTTATCTCTTTTACAATGGTGCATTCTGGCAAATACTAACTTTTGCTGATTGACAAAGCATACGTAGTTCAATATTGTACAGAACACAAGACAATTTGATTACATAGGTATGGGGGGGGTGCGGGAAATAAATTCAATGAATAAAAGGTGTTATCAGGGTTTATATATCAATCTAATCATCCATCTGATCATATTTAGCAATATAAAGCACATAAAGACATATTGAATGAACTATCTTTGTGTATCTTTCCAAGTCTGCACCATGCACATGTTCTCTTGTCCATTTTTAAAAATTCACTAAAGGATAAAATAAAGCACATTTATATATATAGGTCTCCAGTAGCCATCTAGAGACCTGTTTTAAGGTCATTGGAGCCATTCTGATGGGGTCTGATTATTTGTATTTCTTGCAGTTCCATCTCCACGTCCAGAGGGTACGTTCCTTGAAAACAGTGTGTCAAATAGAGTCAGTGCATTACCAGCAGACAGCAGCACCGTGACAAACCACTCAAAAAGGCAAACTACCTTTGATCCATGGTGAGTTGTTGTTTACACATACACAAGGCAATTTGGAAAGAGAGACTGCTAAAGAGACACTTTAATTGGACTTGTTTTAAAAGAAGTAATTAATGTAATCACCTTGCTGTCTGTAGCTGTTGTGGCAAGGCTGCCTCTTACCCAGGCCACTGCTCAGGCAGGCCTCTCGCCCTCTTCTTCAGGAATTGGAGCTTGCAGCTGGTTTCTGCAGTAGGGAGCCCAGCCACTTCTCCTGGGACTCCCTCCCCTGCTATTTCTGTCCTAGAGCTGTTCTCATTTACTGACAAATTCTGGTTCTCTGGCTAGAGTTGTCAGATGTCCGATATTGAACTGGACAGTTTGGTATTTTTGCCTCTTGTCCGGTAAAAAAAAAATTCAGAAAATACCAGACACCTAAAATTTCTGGTACTTTCTGATTTTTTTTCTTTTTCCTGGCCAGGAGGCGAAAATCCCAGACTGTCCGGCTCAATACAGAGGCAGCCTGGCAACTCTAGTGCTTACCAGGTACCGCAGGAGAGCTGTCCAGCCCGGCGCAGGGAGGCAAGATGGGAGGTGGCTGCCGGCTGCCTGTTGGGGCCAGAAAGCCTCACCATGCCTTTCTTAAAGGGGCCATGCTGTTTTTGGTTTTGTTTGTTGGTTTTTTGCTTAACTCTCAGGGTCCTTTTTTTGTTTTGTTTTGTTTTGTTCAGTATTTTTTCTGAAACCATCTGGCAACCCTATCTCTGGCTCTCCCTCCCCCTTCCCACCCCCCGCATCACACACACACATACCCCTTTCAATTGTGGTGGCTTTTAAAGTCCTCCAGCAAGCCAGCAGTGGAGTCAGCTCACCCCAGTCTGCCTGAACCAGCTCCCTACAAGCTGCTTCTTCTAATTGTCCTGCTGCCCTCTGCTTCTGCTTAGCAGGTCTTTCACACATTTTGGGCTGCCTTTCTCCCACTCTGCAGCAGCCTCTGGCCTGATCCTACCACACTGTGTTTGGCTTGCAGACATCCGTATTTGTTCGCTTTGCCCATGCTGAAATAACACCCTGCCCTTTTTGGATCCTGGAGAAGGATCTCATGAAGTTATTTCAGCAAACACACTTTTTTTAAAAATATAAATGTGATCTACTGTTTGTGTATTTTTCTCTGATTTTTTCATTACTCAACATATGTCATCTGTGATCAAAGATAAGAGGAAGTATATATGTAGCGTGGCATGCCAGGCATATTGCACCAATAGCTTGACAGCCCTATAATAAAGGGAAAAAAATATAATTTGGTCTTTGACCATTATTTAGCCCTTAAAATCTTGTCATTCTACTGCATTGTGCAAATACAATAATTTACATCAAATAAAAATATTCTTCTTAGAAAAGAGTTATCTATACACGATTTAAGAAGATGTTGGTTCTCACTAGTGAACTTTCTTTCAAACTCCATTTAATCTTTTGCAAGATTTTAATAAGAGCTTTAATTTGACTAACTATGTAGTGGGTACAGAGGAAAATGTAGTATCATATAGAATGGATGAACTCTAAAGTAGTAGCACATGATTCTGTGAGAAGTCCTACCAATGGTTTAATGATACTGCAAAATTGTTCTCTGTTGTAAGTACAACTTAATCACATTCTTCACTGATATAGAGCCTGTGTTTCTCTATTTAATATCTTTTTGTGGGGAAAATTGTATAATTGCATGTAAAAATATTAATAATTCTATTTGAATGGAACATGACTGATTACATCAGGTGATGATGAACTAAATGCTGAAAGTTCTAATGGCTTACCTAACTGGTATGTGAAGATTCACCTCAAGTTAAGAATGTGTAATCCATCTGAAATTCTTACTACTCTAAGATATTGCTTCATCTTACTACTTTTTGCTACCTCTTTCTAATGTGTGATGCTGAAATGCCACAGATGTTCCCTTGCCCGTGTATGCGTTTATCCAGTTAGCTTCACTGCCCTTCTTCTTTAAAATAAAAAAAAATTATTTCTGAACTTGTCTATTGTCATTAGTATTTCATCTTAAATTACTTGAATTATCACTGCACTTAGGCAGCCTGACTTAAACAAAAGCATGTTTTTCATCCTGTAGGAACTTTTCTATATATCAGTCACCTTATATTCCGCTAAATCCTTGTGTTTTTCTCCATTTATGAGAGTAGATATTTTGCCCTCTTTCACTTAATTCTAATGGAATTAACACAAATGACAGAAATAGACTGGTGTTTAGCAGATGTATATCTGCCTGCACAGCGAGATCACCTGCATAGCTTTTTCAGTGTATCCCTTGACTTCAGTTATCCCTACTGCTATTACAGCTCTCTTCACTGCAGGCTATAAATTGTGTTGCATTACCCAACAGGTTATTGGAAGTCTTAGAAATGGCTACACATTAAACATTTGTTGACTTTGGGGGAACTTCAATTAGTGAGATCCCTTTTGTTGGTGTGTTTTTCTGTGCCCTTATACAAGTGGCTGGTCACATCCTCTTTATTGCTTGCTGCCTTTTTGCAAAAACAAAAACATACTTTTCTTATGGTAGCATCAAAGAATTCACAAATGTAGGCTGAAGTCTTACCCGTCTGACAACTGCAGAGTGCCAAAGATTTGTAGACATTTACCAGGAGTTTTTAACATCAGAGTTCCTTGATGCTCCAAGAATTTGAGTAGAATTTTACAAGGACCTGCAGTTTTGTAATTTTCAGTAGAGCTACACCCATTTACTTGACCTGAAGATGTGGCTCTTCATCAGCTCTGCATAGCTTGATTTTGTTCACATCTCCTGATAATATATATATTTCCCTACTGTATTTCCCTTTTTTTCTTTTCATCTTTTCCCCAGTGTCTGAGTCCTGAGTCCTCACTTCTCATCCTAATTATCAGTACTTCGTTTTTCATCTTCCTCAGTCATTCATGGTTTTGTTAGTTAAACTTTTCTTGTGTTATCAATCCACAGTCCACAATTAACATCTTTAAATACTGGTAAATACTGACCTTTGAGCTCTAATCTTTTGAAATGTTGTCATGCCCTCTTATACTGCCAATTATAGTCGGTGGGATAAAAGAAAGCCAGAAGTGTACCTGGGGAGTGCATTTCCAAATGCTGTAGGCTCTTGGATTCTGTCTTGGAACTAAAGCTAGTAAAGTATTCACAATGCCTAGTTGGGGAATTCTGGTCCAGCCACTTTTAAAAGTTCAATGGTTAATTTTACAAAGTGATGTAATTTTTAAATTTTGTAATAAAACTATAGACCTGCCCGCTCTATTTGCTACCTCAGCTCCCCTCTCTGTGGCTGCTTTTGCTTTACTGAGAGAACCTGTTGATGCTGATGACATCATGACGTCATTCTGTCGCCTATCCGGAATATTGTCATCCGTCAGGAAAAACTTCTTTATATATAGAGAGAGATGATTTACTTATTGTAGACAAGCACCATCTGGTTGTGTTTCATGTATTTCTTACAGTGACACCTGGTGGTGACACTATAGATAAGACTATGTATTTGAGTTTTTAGCCTTATGTGCAAAATCTTTGCCTTAGATCTTGGAGGACAAGGTCATTAATTTAAATTTTTAAGGAGTAAACATAAAACCCTGTTCTTAAGAGAACTGATATTTAAAATAGATTACTAGTTTCAGACATCTTGCCTTCATTTACAGTAAATCATTAACTATTGGGGGTTTATTTTTTTATATATAAGTTAACCTAAAAGTCAGTATTTAACTTCAAGAATTAATTACTGGCCATTTGTGGTGGGCACTATTCAAAGAAACCTGCATAAAGATTTTAAAAATCTCTTTGATTAGGACAAAATCTAACACTCAGAGTTGTGACACATAGTGGGTATGTCTGCACTTGAGTGCATCTCAGAGCTCAGGTTTTCAAACTCTGGCTCGTGGGGCTTATACTGTGGTCCTTATAACAGCTGTGTAGAGCTTTGGGCTGGGGCTCAAGCTTTGAAACCCGAGGAGGAGAGTGGGTTTCAGAGCTTGAACTTTAGCCCAAACCACAGTATCTAAACTGCTGTGTTTAATACCATAGTACAAGCCCCATGAACTGAAATCTGTAGACCCATGCTCTAAGGTCATGCCAGAGATCAATGTTCTGACACTTGATTTAGTAGATCTAGTATAGACCTGTAAATCAAACACTGATGGGAGTGTTCGCTCCCATCGGCCTCCCTCAGTGGGGACAGTGCCACGCTTGACTTAAGGTAAGCTGACTAACACGTAGCTGGAGTTGCATACCTTAAACTGAGCTTCTAAGTCTAGTGTAGACCTGTCCTGAGACTCACTGGTGTGGGTTCTAAAATGCAGGGTAGATGTACCATCTGTTTGGAGACATACTATGCACACAGCAGTGCTTCTAGAGCTGAGAGATACTACTGAGCACATCAGCTCGGACTCCAGCTTACGGTGAAAGCTAAGTGCTGGCCTGTTTGTACATGCACGTTCACTCCACCACTTCCACTCCAGCTGACTGCACCTGCACATAACAGGTGTCCTTACCTGTGAACAGCAGAGTTTGACTCTACTATTTACTCAGTTTTAAATTTTTGTCTCCACAGCCATCTCTTCTGTAAAGCCAAAACACAAAAGATGACCAGTATTGCCAACTCTGAGCACTCAAAAAATCATGAGACTGTCTTAAAATTAATGAGATGTGGGTTTTTTTAATTGGGTTGTTTGTATTTGCCTTCTGAGCTGTTAGGATGCACGCAGGTTGCATTGACAAGTTTTTCACTGCAACCCTAAGAGCTAGAAAATTACTCTAAAAAAAATAAAAGCTGTGATTCTCATGTAACTGTTTATCTTGAGGAGTTGGGGTTCTAAGGAAAAACACCAAAAACCACAGGAGTTGTCATAAATTTGGAAGAGTTGGTAACACTGATATTATACATCCAATTTTTAGCAGGATAAACCTGTTTTTTCTTATGTTGACTAGTATCTCAGTACATTCTTGAGAAGTCCTGCCATTCATGTCATCAATTAAAACCTGTTCTGTTTTTTCAATTAGTACACATTTTTTGTTTTGAGACCTTTTTGATCTAATTCTATACGTTTGTACCTCCTTATTTCACACTCATCATATAATGAGCATGTAGTCAAGGCCAAAACTTGTGTCAGACGACAGCATATGCAATATAAATCTGAAGAGCTGAGCATCAGTCTAATCTGTTCAAAGCCACTTCATTGGCTCCTTAAGCAAGCAGGTATTGGAGAGTGAGAGTGATACATACCGGTCCACTTTTCTCCTCTTTTGTAAAGGAGAGGGATGTGAAGAATAGAGCTCTGTCTGCCTCCACTCATACAGACATTTTCTGATGCAGATGCAGTCAATCAAGGAAAGGAGCCAGAACATTGAGCATCTGAATATTTCATTACCCTGAAAAATGGTGCAGAAAGTGTCTGTTTTTGATATTGAAGATGCAATCACCTTAAATACACAGTGACTCTTCTTTACATGGGGCAGGGTAAAGGCAGAAAAGCCATGCCAGGAAATTCTGCATTACCCATTGTATAGTACTAAACTCTGAGGCAACACAGAGGGGTTTGTATATGGGCCAGGGGAGCAGTATACACATGGTGTCTGGGTTAGCAATTTACATTGGGTAAGTTTTGTTAATTGTTTTAACTTACGTGTTTTGAGGAATAACAGTAAACTGCCCTATTTCTTTCTCACTCCAGTTCCCTAATAGTACTAGATGTACACTGGATATTACATGGACGAAGCAGATTTCTCAGCCCCACAACTCGGTGCACAGATGGTTGGGTTAGGCTCTGTACTTTTAGGATTTAGTCCTTACAGGTTAGGGAAGATAGAATAATCTCAAACCACATACTTTTATGTCTAACAGTGTGTGTGTTCTGTCAGTACAGTCAGCTTTGTGAATGGAAGGCATCTGGAAAGCTGTCAGCAGTTTACTCTTGGATTTCCTGCGTGCTGCAATAAATAATTAGAAGACAGCCTTTTTGCAGCTTTGCAGTATTCCAAATGGAAAAGGCTGAATGGAATTGGGAATCACTAGTAATTTGATGTCTTTTAAATTTGTATAAGAATCTACTCATTAAATAAGATACTAATGACTTTTCATGGAAGCTAATTATAGCTTTGTAATTTTCTAGTGAAAAGCATATTGCTGAAGTGTAAAAGTAGCATTCTGGGAAGGCGGGGGGAGTGTTAGTGTAGACGTATGTTCCAGAAACATAAATTATGCAAATCTCCACTTCCTCCTACAGATCACAAACCCACTCCACCTCCTAAAAAAAATCATATTCCGAAAATGCAATTTGCAACAGCCTTTAAACATTTCATACATTTGTGTTAGGATTCCCATCTGACTTTTATGTGTTAAATTCATGTACTAAATTTACAGCATCCAGAAATTTGAACTTAACCTCAGTTATAATGAACCCACTTGAATATAGCCTATCATTTTCTTCTATATGATGATTACAATTTTTAGTTTTCCTTATATTTCCAATCTGATGCTGATCTACTCTGAATCAGAGTTTCTGGCAGCCTACTGAAAACTAAAGATAAATTAAGGAAATTTAAAATTCAGTCTTTACAATTACTCAAATTTTCTGTGGCTGTCTTCACTTGCCAGCACTGTCTCATGATCTAGAAAGACACACATCCATAAGATAGGTTTAAGAGGAGTTATTAAGTGAACAATAACAGATCTGAATGATAAATTGTAGCCATGTCAGCAAAGCTCAAGAATTTTTGTAGACAATCTTTTATTTCAATCTCATGATCTTTACAGCTCTTCTGGCCTTCAAACAAGTGATAGATGAATTAGAACTGATTTTATCTGATATAATTGTTTGTACATTTGCTCAGATACTATATTTTTAATAATATTTTCTGTCATATGCTTTTTCACTTGGCTATAAAATCCCAACTAAAAAACAAAAATCTGACAAACTTGCAAGATAATCTTTTCCCAAAGTATCTCACTGAATGTTTTTGATTAATCATTTTAACCTAACAATGTGTCCTTTGGTTTCCATTTAATTAAGAATATTTTATCTATTGGATTTATATTAATCCTTGTGCCATAAATTAATAATATATTTGGAATATCTTTTTGGCTTTTTAAAAATCTGAATTCTTTAGCGTGAAATCCAAAAATATCATATAATGACACATCAGCCAAAAAATTTTCTCTATTACAATATATTTTCTATATGTTTAGGAAAAGTCCTGAAAACGTTAACAGTCAGTCAGAGCAGCTCAAGGAAAAAGAAAAACAAGGATTTTTTAGGGCAATTAAAAAGAAGAAGAAGAAATCTCAAACTGTAAGTACACCTAATAGTGTCTAAAATAGTGTATATTTTCCATTGTTTTGAAGCTCCTACCATAAAATGGGCTAGTCCAATGCTGTACTGTTATATTATGTGTGAACATACATGTGTACCTCTATTGGCTTTTAAACTTGTAGAAGTACCTACTTACCTATTCAAATGTTTACTCACTAAGGAGCTATACTTTCTCTACTTACTTAAATACACCCAGGACCCCTGGAATTCTTTTATACTTGAGGTAGGGTTGCCAGGCATCTGGTTTGTGACTGAAACACCCGATTGATAAGGAACCCTAGCATCTCTGGTGAGTACCGCTGATGGGACTGCTAAAAGTCCTATTGGTGGTGTTGTGGGGCTATGGTAGGCTCCCTGCTTGCCCTGGCTCCATGTGGCTCCCAGAAGTAACCATCATGTCCCTCCAGGTGCTCTGCATAGAGGCGTGTATGGGGGCTCTGAGTGTCTGGTTCTCCCTTACCCCTGCCACCCGAGCATTGGCTCTGCAGCTCCCACTGGCTGGGAATCACTCTGCTGCTGTTTGGCAAACTAATAGGCAGCATCAGAAATGCTGGAAGATTCTGCCTTCAGACTTAGGCAGAAAAGATTGACTTATGCTCATATCCTAAAGTTTTCTTCATATCTACGTGGACTGTAAACATGTAGGCTTGCTCACTCATAAAAGCAAGTTTTAGTACTCACCAATGGTGAGTTTATTTATTTATTTATTTATTTGTTTTGCTGCAGAATTTAAGATCCCTGAATTACTGATTGTCACAGACTCACCATCTAGCTGCGAAGCCATGTTAAAATAATGATCTGATACTGTTTACTTCCTGTACAATAAGATCTGAATCAAAAGCCCATTGGAAAGACTCATATTCATGTAAATTAACTTAGGATCAGGGTCTAAAAGTGGGTAAATGTTAAAAATTAAGTTAGGTATTCATATAAAATAAACTTAGGATCAGGCTCTAAAAGTGGGTAAATGTTAAAAATTAAGTTAGTATGTTTCATGAAAAGGAACCTACCCTACTGAGAGGCAACATGTGAACAGGAGAAGTTCAGTAATATAGAGTGATTGAATTTTTGTGTGCAAGCAAAAGCTTACAATGACTTTAAATATGAAAGAAATTGACAAAAGAAAAACTTAATTTGGCTAAGTTTTAAAATGGAAAAGTCAAGGATGATTGATTGGGCTAAGAATATTTACTATAGGTTGAACCTCTCTAGTCTGGCACCTGGGACTTCACTGGTGCTGAACCAGAGAATTTGCCAAACCATGGGAGGTCAGTATTGTCTAGCAGCATTATCAACACGTCCACTGCTTACTGAGCTCTATTCCTTAGACATTTAGGAATAAAGAAAAGCTAAATAACAGCACAGAACACCGAGAACCATGATTGGTGGGTGTAAGCAAATTTTATGGGACCATGGGAAAGTCGGCCACACCCATGGGGTAAGTGGATAGTCAGCTAACTACAAGTCATGCCAGACTAGTGAATTTCAACTCGTAGGAAAGAAAGACTATGAAAAATAGCACATTTATTGCACAAGTACATAAAAAAACAAGGACAAAAGAATGTTACTCATAATAACTATACTTGGCTTTCACGGAATTGGTGTTTGGAGAGTGAATTGTTTGGAGTGTTCGTAAACTTTGTATTAAATTAATAGGGTTAGCTTTTAATCTCAGATGCATGGCGTGAATGTTCACTTACCTAAGGGCGAGGAGTCCTGTGGCACCTTATAGACTAACTGAAGTGTTGGAGCATAAGCTTTCATGGGCAAAGACCCACTTCGTCAGATGCATCTGACGAAGTGGGTCTTTGCCCATGAAAGCTTATGCTCCAACACTTCAGTTAGTCTATAAGGTGCCACAGGACTCCTCGCTGCTTTTGCAGATTCAGACTAACACGGCTACCCCTCTGATACTTGACATTTACCTAGGATTATCTTCTGCTTGTGCTGGTTTAGAAGGAGGGATGGTTTCACTGCTAAGGCAGTAGATTTGAGATTTGAGTTTGATTCCAAGCTCTGGTCAGACCTGCAATCTAAATGACGCAAGCCACTAATTTCTCTGTGCCTCAGTTTGCTATGTAAAAATTGGGATAATATATTTCCCTACCTCATAGGGAAACATAGAGACAATAAATATTGTAATGTATGAAGTAATGATCACACACAGAAAAGTCTATAACTAAAAACAAATGTAAAGTGTTTTGTGGGTACATTGTGATACATACTGCGCAGATGAGGTTAGAAACTGTCCTTTAATAGTGTCACAACTTGCAACGTATCAAATCTGTCAACTTCCGTGTTACTTATAGGCCTGATCTAACTTAAGTGGAAAGGCTCCTGCTGATTTCACTGGAAGTTACAGACGGTCACATGCACAAACAGAGAGCTCATTTTTTTTAAATCAGATCTTCACACGTATAATACTCCTCAGTTCCTTTCTAGAGACAAGTAGGATTCCAAATGTGTTATGTGACAGAACTGATTTGATCTGTTTTAGGAAAGTTAGGAGAGGGGAGTTGAATCTAAGGATGTTAAATATCGACTAAAGGCGAAAGCGCCACGTGGAGCCTGGGATCAGCTGGGGACTCCATCTGATCCAGGGCTCCATGTAGTACTGCCACTTTGATATGCCACCTGCAGTCTGACACCGGGCTCCCTGCAGTGTTTCAAAACGGCAGGGCTGCATGGAGCCTGGGGATAGCGGGGGAGTCCCCAGCTGATCCCGGGCCCTGTCGCTTGGAAATGCTGCAAAGAACCTGACACCAGCCTCTCCGAAATGTTTCAAAGTGGCAGCACCACATGGAGCCTGGATTCAGCTGATCCCAAGCTCCATGTGGTGCTGCTGCTTTGAGACGCTGCATGCAGCTTGGGGACACCCCAGTTGGCCTGCACGTGTCATTTCAAAGCAGCAGCACCACCTGGAAACTGGGGTCTGGCCCACGCTTCAAGCAGCACTGTGGCTTTGAAGTACGCCATTCTCTCCCTCCCCCCCACCTCCAACCCTTGCTGCTCCTTTCTGATGGAGGCAGCGAGGGGGGGAAGCGACTAGTCAACTAGCATGTCAGCTATCCGATTAGCATTTGCTTATTGGATAGTCAACTAGTTGTTCCCATCTCTAGTTGAATCTAGTTGGTTGCAACAACTACAGTAATCTTATGTCTGAGTATTTTTCACCACAACCTCTTTTATCTCCATGCTGTTTTGGCTCCAGAATCAGCAGTGTAATGCATAAATAACATTTTGAAGTGGGACACTAAGTTTGATTTTTCTCTCATGCACAGCAGTATTTATTTTTGTCAACATTGTTGCCTTTATTGGAATCATCATGGTTTAGTGAGTGATGGGAGAAACTGGCCTGTTATCATCAACACACAAAGAGAGGCCAGCAGTTTTAGATATCATCATGTGGGAGAAAGGGAAGTTCACATGATTTTAGCAGTAATATGGTATCAGCAGGTACCATATAATTTCTCCATTGAATTCTGACTTGGCACATCAGTACTCTTGGTAGTGCACTCCTCAGAGAAAGTAAGTGACTATTGGGTCTATTTACAGTATGCACTTCTTAGGATCGTGGCTCAAGTTTATATAAAGGATTCTTCCCACAAATGCCCGCAGTTCCTTTATAGTTACAGGTTTCTGAATATGTATTTGATTAATTCACATTGCACTACCTGTCCACTGTCCCTATTATCTGTTTATCTAGTTTATATGTTAGCTGCAATTTCAAAACAACAAGTAAACTTCTTTAATCTCCCTTTCCATAAATGAGTGTTAGTATTGACAAAGGCTGGTTAGATATGTGCTGATGTGTGTTTCCAAGCTATTTGTATATGCTATTTGTATATTTGCATGGGTCTGAAAATATTCATGTCTGCTCTGTTGTCTAGTTAAAAGCTGAACTGTTGCATTGCATACCCAGGTAAAATATCTAGATCTAATGAGTTGGATTATGGCATTAAGAAGTTTATGATGTATGAGCACATTGGCTCATGGAGGGGTATTTCCTAAGGATATGATGAATTTACACAAATTCTACCCTATTTTGGTTTGATCTGTCACAAGAAGTGGTGTCTCAACCTCATGTTCATGTTAGAGACCTTGAAAACCTATCAGATAAACGTAGTCCACCAGACCACGTTCTGTGCAGGAGTTCATACAGTATGGATCAGATTGCACCTTATGCAAAGCAGTCAAAAAAATAGCAAGAAACTTTTAATCTAAGAGCACCAAAAAGTCAAAGTCCCTGGGTCAACAAGTCTTAGAGTGCTTATTCCTCTATTCTTAATAAGAAGTGGCACAGATTTGGAGCCAGTATCAGTTAAGAGCCATAAATCCTGGTCTGGGGACCTGTTGACACTAACTGGATCTTTGGCTCCAATAGAGAAGCATTGAAGCTATGACAGTCCCAGTCAATATCTGTACCCTGGATCTCTTGGCATTGTTGGATCCCTTGTATTGGTGCACTCAGTTTCTTCTGACAGTGAACTCATGGAGGCACTGTGCACTGTGCCACTCTGTTTAAAGCAGTGGGAAATCATCTCAGACATCTGTCTCAACAGACCAGCACTGTGCAGATACAAAATGTGTATCCTCATCTGCATCTGCAATGAGTCATGGATATCTGTGTCCACATCCACACATGCGGATACCCATAAATATAAAGCAGATATTCACAGATTTGCAGGGCTCTACAAATCAGGATCTCTCCAATTACTGCTTCTGTGTCTGTAATAGGAGTCTACATAATCTCAGGTTATGAGTGGATACTAGTCAGTCTGAGGTGCTCTTCTTTGATTTAGATACAGTTCCTGGCCCTTTCTCCTGCAGAGAGTTCCCAAGGGTAGGGATTTCTAGAGGCAATTCTTGAAGGAGTAAGGAAGGTTTTTTGCCTATTATTGGGGATCTCACAGAGAGAATGTCTCTGCAGAGCTATTTCCTCCCCCTCTCCTTTCCCTCT